TCCAAAATTGGAATGTGCAGTTCAAATTTATACCAGCATACACACAGCATGTCTAGCAGCACTGTGTCAATTCCAATGAAGTCTGTGGACCAGGCTCTAGTAAGACTGTGAAAGACTTCAGAAACGTCTGATATACACACAGGCTCATATATATCAGATATCAAACAGAACTCACAAAATGCATTTTATAAAACTATCTACAAATCTATGCACTGCAACTGTCACAGAAGTGTGAAACATCAATACCAAGCTTGTCTCGTTATGTTGATCTCCATCTTATGCTTCTTAGTTCCTATATAGTATTAATTTTATACATTTATTTATTTATTGCATGAGTGATTTATTAAGTCTTTCAGAGGCTTATCAGTGCCCTTGGACTTGACTAACTGGACCATTCCCTTGTAAGACATTTAGAAGCGCAAGCGACTTGCTTTGATCTCTGGAGTATCAGAGTGCACACCCTAACCCTAATACCGTTTCAAGATTAAACTTCCTAATTCTGGGCATAACTGCACTGACTAATGTTTGTTTGTCATTAGTCTTTCGATTGGTTTGATGCAGTCCTCCATTTTCGCCTATCTTGCGCCAAACATGTTAAGTACATGGGTGTTAAAGATGATGTAAATGTTGTTTTAAATTTTAACATCACAATAATTATAATTGAAAGAGACATTTAATATTAGCTGAAAACATGTGAAATGTACTCAGTCTTATAATACGTAAAACCAAATATAAGGTATTCATATCCGACCATATCATCCGCATTAATGCAAATTAACATCAACATTAATGAAAGTATTTCAACAGTAAATTAAAGCACATTGTAGGCCTGTAACATACATTATAAATTTACGCAGTACGTAAAACGAACGTCACTCCTTTTTCATATTTAGTGTTTCCATTGCTTGCCTCATCACAAGTATTAATTTACATATTCTAACAAATAAGACTTGACCTCCATGCTTTCTTCATTTGTCAGTAACAGGGTCTTCACCTGGAGCATTATTATTTTTGTAATTTGAATATTGCACTTCCTCTAAAGCAGGGTCACCAAGGGCTATGCAGTGCAGCGTGTTTAATATTTTCATTATTTATTTCTGCATTTACATCATTCTTACTTAAGGGTTCTTCAGAACGCTCAGCCCCTACCTAGAGGGCACGAGAATACCATCTATTTAATTAATTTGGTTAATACCTTCCTGTCCTGGTGGTTTCCAGGTTTTATTTATTTATTTATTTAGTGTTCTGTCTGACGACAGGTCCATATGAACAGGATCCTTCCATCCTTTTCTCGGACTGGGACCTGTTCATATACGTTCTTGGCAGATGATCCAGAAGTGGTTTGCCATTCCCTTCTTCTGTGTGTGAATGGAGTAATTGGTGGGATGCCACGGAGGAAAACTCCGGGCTGCCTAGACCACGGCCTTGCCCACCACAAGTTATAAATTCGGGCACCGCAATGGGGGCTGTGTCATAGCTCAGGTGGTTAGTCGCATGCTGCTCACCACTGAAGTCGGAGTGCACATATGGGGCTCGCAGCCAACTGCGTGACAAGGCGTGGGTTTCTCTGACCGGGTCCCTCGATTTTCCCTGTCAGTATATTTCCATCGTTGCCCTGTACTCACTCATGTATCACCCGCGGCTGGACAATGGACCCGCTGCTAGTGCCCGCAGGTCCATAGAAACAAAGCCTCACCCCATCCCAACAATCTATTTATATAACAAGCAAGAGTTGGTTTGTTGGTTATCAGTTGCTGGTAAGGGACTTTTGACCTTAATGGATAATATTTATGTACGCGCATGTCATTATAATCTGATGCTGTTGAGAACATTTTAACCGAATGGGATAATAATTATGACCACAGTAAACGTGCTTATTACAAAAGATTTTCCCGTCATTCCTGACGGGAAATTTACTAGTAACAATATAATTTAGTAAACCATCTCACCGTTAACTGTCCACTGAAAGCGAAATGAGAGAAGTGGAAATATTAAATGGAATCCATCGACGTTAGTGTTCAACGACGCACTGAATCCCTCTCTTAGGAATGCTCTGGCATAACGAGACGCGGTAATTAGCACCTTCTGCAAGATCCTGCTATACGATTAATTACTTCGAGCTGTGATCCTTCCTGCGCTAATTTTAGATACAAACTGCAATCACATACTTCAATGGTTCTGCCTTAATTACAGGCCGTATATTTTCTTATTATTTAGTGTCTATAATGACGTCCGGATGAGCACAATTTTCTCGTTAAAATTTACAAAATTATTCACGTGATATAGCAATCTTACCTCCCACCGTTAAACAAAAACGTAAAAAAAAATTATTTGTCCGTACGTGAGGCAAGGCAGCCCAGGTCCGGTCAGTAACCCAGATCAGTCAGAAGGAAATGAAGCCGTAGTGCCTGAAGAAAATCACATTTCGGATATTTACTTTGATGAACTAGGTAGCGAATTGGACAACGTTACTGTGTATGTGATAAACGAGACCAATCTGAAAGGATACCCAAGAGTGATTTTAAGAGCTGAAAATAAGAGAGATAACCACGATATTAGATAGTGGAGCTGAGATTTCTGTTATTTCAGAAGAGATTTATAACAGTTTGATAGCGGGAGGCACACTGTTGCTTAGTTTACCTGCTATACAAGGAGTATTGATCCCTGCATGGGGTGCGAAGACAAAGAGAATTAGGAAGCAAGCATTAATACCATTTGATATTGGTGAAACTTACTATGAAAAGGTTTTTATGGTTGCTCCAAACCTAATGGCTGAAGAAATATTAGGCGCGAACTTCTTATCAGATTATGGAGTGATGATGGATTTCAAAGAAAGGAGCTTTACTACCAGGCAGCAAGGACAGGTTAGCAGGCATTGCTTCTCATTTGAAGGAATGGCTAAGGAAGAAGACAGGGGCGCACTGGCGACAAACTCTGGACTTACAGTCAAAGACTACACCAATTCTAAAGCAATACACCAAGACAGATCCATGACCTAAGAACACTACCAGGCCAACGACCCTGAGATATCGAATATAATGCAGGCTGTAAGTGGGTTTTACTATATGGATTCCACTTTCCTCTCAGAAAGTTTCAAGATCATACATTCAGACCAATTTACAGGGCAGCAGATGGACCAAGATAAGAGATGAGCAAGACACGCAGGACAGGCGCGGAAAATCACGCGCCCCACAAACGCCTTCCTGGTTTTTGCTAATGACTGGCGAAAGAAACTGGCTGCCCTTTATCCTGGGGAACCAAATACGCAAATTAGTGTGAGATATGTTTCTATACAAAATGTACTTCAGGACAATTACTCGTGAATGACAAATTGTCTGTAAGTCTTCAGTGATCTGCAGGGTCAAGTACATTGGAGACAGCTATTTTTTTTTAATACTGTTGACCATATTCTGATTCTTATGGGTTTTACTACAGTAAAACCCCTCTAGTTGGACACCCCTATATCCTGGACACTTTTAATTGGAACCGGCGAATATCCTATAATTTTACATGTCCACAACACCCTATAACTTGGACACCCCTTTATCCTGGAACTTGAACACCCCTTTTGTTGTAAGTTGGACAGGTTCATGCACTTAGCTTCAATGCTTTTATGGGAAAC